GCCTCTTCTTCAGCAGCTTTTCGAGCAGCCTCTTCCTCTTCAGCCATTCGCGCCGCTTCTGCAGCGGCAGCCTCTTCAGCAAGTTTTCTCGCTGCCTCTTCTTCAGCAGCTTTTCGAGCAGCCTCTTCCTCTTCAGCCATTCGCGCCGCTTCTGCAGCGGCCGCCTCTTCAGCAAGTTTTCTCGCTGCCTCTTCTTCAGCAGCTTTTCGAGTGGCCTCTTCCTCTTCAGCTATTCTTGCTGCTTCTGCAGCGGCTGCCTCTTCAGCAAGTTTTCTCGCTGCCTCTTCTTCAGCAGCTTTTCGAGTGGCCTCTTCCTCTTCAGCCATTCGCGCCGCTTCTGCAGCGGCTGCCTCTTCAGCAAGTTTTCTCGCCGCCTGTTCTTCAGCAGCTTGTCGCGCGGCCTCTTCCTCTTCAGCGATTCTCGCTGCTTCTGCAGCGGCTGTTCTCACGGCGTCGTGTTCAACAGCAACATCTCTCGCAGCTTCTTCTGCAGTAGCTTTCTGGGCTGCCTCTTCTGCCTCTGCCGCTATCCTTGGAAGTCGCACAGCGAGCCACATACAGCAGCAGTATGGCTTGGGCAATTTGCTCGCGATTCCCATGGATGAGACTTTGCAGGACGGGACGAACAGGGACTTCTGAATGGTGACGGAGCTTTAAACAGCATTGTCGCTAGTGTCCATCAGTGATCCGAAACGACCACATCAACGGAGACAAAGAGGGCGAACAACAGTCGGTATCGCCTTGAACCAGGCCGATGACGATTCCCTTGGTCTGAGGCGACAGACCCGGGAATCCAACCGGAGGGAACCCCATCGCGACTGTGAAAACACCATTCGTTCAAACATGTTGAACTTGACACCGTGCACTGCTTGAAGTGTTTGCAGACAAGCCTCCTTGCCACGGCTTCCTCTGCCACCTGTAAGTACGAGCATTAATGTCATCGCCCATTCGGGCAACCAATCGGGTCCAGGAACTCGCGCGAAACACGTGTCGTGAATGAAAAGAAAACGTGCTTGAAACTGAGCAGGCAAAGTGCAAACTGGTCTGCAGAGGTCTGAAACGAGTCTGAGGCAGGCAGCCCGAAGGCGGATGGAGGGCAAGAGTGTCTCCGACAGAGTCTGAAAGAATCGAGGTTGACGTATGTCTTCTTCAGTCTTCGACACACGTTGCAAAATCGCGCTTGCTGCTCTGCAACCTTCTTCAGCTGGAAGAGCAGACAGTGCGTACAACGTCAACGCACAAGAGACGACACCACAGCGTCGTTCTGTGCTCCAGCGAATTTCCCACAGCAACTCCCCTGTGAAGGAAAGATAGCACGCAACGCTCATCCCCTGCAGCTGAATGCACAAATGCTACGGACGCTTCATGCACGGCGCCTGCCCAGGTTCTTCCACCGAGGCAGAAGTCTCCTGCAAGCTTGACTTGCTGTTCCAAACCCATCGGACAACCCATGCAACAGCTAAGGATACTCGCAGACTGGCGCGACTTTTCGCTTTGTCGATCAAAAACTTGCAGCAAGGCCAACTTGCGTTTGTCGCCATTTCGGGTGCGTGCCGCTTGCTTCCGTGTCGTACAGAAGGAAGCAACTTCACCCATTTCGCGATTGCAAGTCTTCGCTGGTGCAAAGGTAAATACGTGGTTGTAGCTAGGTGACGGTGACTCTATTACTTTCCTATTGCCGGGGCCCCTGCTGCCTGTCTATGCAGAATGTCTTCATTGTACGGGCAGCATGCGCATGAGGACATCTGTGGAACATCGAGCACCGGCAGCGCAGGCCGATTGCTGAGAGCTGTCTTTGCGTCAGGGACAAATTGGACAACTTTCAGAAACCGCTTACAATGCTGCGGAAGCTCCTCCACTTCCGGCACCGTCTGCCCGTTGACTGTCTGATTGGACCTCAAAGCTCCAGGTGCAGAGCGAAGTCTTCGGATCCTAATCAATGACGGGCTTCGTGCTGCCCAGGTTATTCAGCACCCATACACATGAAGGGCCCCTCTGCCTAATTCTTATATTGCAAGACCGCGGCTGATTGGGCCGAATCTAAGGTGGACTAACTCAGCTACGGTAAATCACTTACACGGACGACTTGTCACACCAAATGCTTGCATGGACGGTGGTTAGTGGTTTGTGTGCGGTTACACACTCGGGCAGAATGCGTGGGCTTAAACATGTTCAAACTCTTGACTCCTGACCCTTGGCTTACACGAACTGCCCCCACCAGCGGAATCCGCTAACTGGTTGCCAGTGGTTTGGTTAAGGATGTCCAGTCTGAACAGGTACAACTGAAAGCCTCATGTAACAAGAGCAACCACTTTGCCCCACTTGCAGTTGACACACCGCTTACATAATTTGGACGAGTTGCTCAGCTGACTTACACCATGTGTTAAGGTTTAAGGTAGAAGAACAACAAATGGCTAGGGACCTGGTTCCGCGGTCTCGTTACTTCCTTTACTAAGTAGGGTGACCCTCCGGCTAGAGGTCTTGCCATTTTGGATCATGGCTTCTGGCTTCCGCGCTTGTTTCATGAAGCCAGACAGCGTGCTGCTACTTCTGAATGAGCACAGAAACTTAATGTAGCAGCAGAAAGCTGCGGATTTGGGGTTTGCGATCTGTCTCCTGAAGCGAAGCAGCATCCCCAGACACAGTTTGAAAATGTCGGACCTGGCATTCCATTGACCACTCGTGCAAGGCAATGCGGCATTCAGGAAACAACGTTTTTTCTGGGCTACTGCAATACCTTGGATGTGTTCTGCTACTGACCACTTCCATGAGCGGTTGCGGGCCAGTTGAAACTTCTCAAACGCCAGTTGTCGGCACAGGTCACCGCTTTCATTGCCCAATTCCGCAGACCTACACTGGACGCGCTCGACCGAAAGAAGGGCTGAACTGAAGACTTTAAACTTCCCTGGACCACCAAGCACAGAACACCATGCCTCTGTTATAAACCCGGAAGGTGTGCGAACCTCAGGGTGTAACCTGACGAATACGCCGAAGGGCTCCTCCCCACGATCAGCCAATGCCTCCATGAGTTTCACATTTTTCTCGTTGCTTCTTACAGCTCTTGCTCTTGCGAAGTGAAAGCGTGTTCCTGCTGCTGACGACAAGTGGATGAGCAAGCAACATCAAGAATGCGCGAGCAAAGAACCAACACCATCATGTCAGCATCCGACCCAGTAGACTCATCATCCAACCATCATCACTGTCGCTGTCATCAATTGCCTGAGATCATGAGCTACCAAACCCTACATCTCTGTGGAGTCCCTATCACACCTGTAAATTGCAGTTTTGGAATTCTATAGCAGGGTTACAATAATAAGAAGCTATAAAAAGGTAGGATATGGCAGCTTAAGGTGATGATCATCACCGCCACCATTCGCAGTCACCAACAGCCGGCACGCAGACGCAGTACGGGTGGAGTTGTTGGCCAGTTTGCTCGCCACCCTGCAGAATTCTCGATTCAGGCTTGCAAAGGCTCCAGCTCTTTGGAGCCGGATTAAGAAGAACAGGAAAACTCTGTTCGTTCCTTTGCAAGTGTTGCAAGGAAGAGCGCAAACAACAAACACAAACACCGCACAAGCACGAACAAGCACCAACAATTCAGCTTGTACGGTAAACACTGAACATATGGCTATATGGTTTATATACATATCATATTATACTGATAGCTTTGCTTTTGCTCGTAGTCGGCTGCGAAGCTGACCAGAGTGATGCCTCTTTAGTTGGTCCGAAGTGGAGACACGAGTCGTCAGTTCTCGGCTGAGTCTGCGGAGAGGAGACAATCGGTCCAGACTTCGGGGGGGCTTGAAAACCATAAAAAGTAGCACATGGCCGTGCAGAACACTGACATTCAGAACAGCTATACCACCTACTCTGGGTCTCCAGACCGGGGGCTTTGAACCTCTGACGCAAGGCCCCGCGGCTGCGAAAGGAAGCAGCGAAGTGAAAGCCCGAATGATGCTTTGTCCAAGTCCTGACATCTCAGCCCAAGGAAGTCTCACAGTAGATGCCTCGTCAAAGGAGCGCTCGACCTTCTCGCGCAGGCCCTGGAGTCCTTCCTGAAGCCAAGAAGGAGCCTAGACTAGACTATACTACACGATACTACACTAGACTATGCTGACTGCCCTTAACGAGAGTCTGGCCGAAAGGGACGACATTTACGAGATCTTTCAAGCACAAGGTGGCGAAAGAACAAATCAAGGCTCCTCACGCCTTTGAGCTGCTTCAAACAAATCCCACAAACCCGGGGCCAAACCCGAAACTCTTTCGGTTGAAGCTGCGGCCGCCCCTCGGAAGGATTGCCTCGGCTAAGTGTCGTGCTCTAGCAGCTAGGGGCCCTGTCGCCTAGTCTCGATCAGGAGTTTCCCTGCCGAGGACAAACATGTGAGAGGGCTGGGTTTGAGAGTCTCTTGACCACATTTGACCTCCCCGGCCCGACTTCAATTCAACTTGGCACTCATGTGGATGCCGTTTAAGGGACCCTCCTGGGCACCCAAATGAGGGCTTGTAGGAAGATGTGACACTATGTTTCCCTGCATTCTGCCTCACTCGACCCTGCTTTACGTCTTTAATTTCGGGCCATACGGAGAAACGTGTACATCGCGCTTGCAGCTCCCTATAGCATACTGTCAGGGCCTCAATAATTCGAAGAGGTTTTGGGGAATAATAACGTCTGAGTCTATCATTAAGGAGCCCTCAGCAACAGTGTTCGTAATTATTCGGCCCCTCAAAGAGGTATTTCGCTGGCGCTGACAGGGCTCAAACCTCAAATGGTTATCGTTGGCTGGATTTCTTCATACCGGTGCAGAATCGAGATCTGCCTGAGCATGCTCAACTAACTTGAAAGCCTGACATTGGGGTCTCAGTCAAGCTGCCGAGGTCGAAATGTCCAGAATTGGAGTGTTTTTTCAAGTTGTTGAAGCTCACGACGGATAGATTGTTGAAGCTCACGACGGATAGAACGGAGGCCCCCCTACATCATCGAAAAAACAGTCGGTGTCGGCTTAAAACTCCACATTGCCGGACTGGAAGTTGGCGGAAAAGCATGCTAAATTGCCATCCTGGTGGCAGCGCCGATGTGGACGTCAAAGCCCCTAGGCCCCCGAAGAGACCCCAGCCGGCTCCCTCCTTTTTGATGGTTTGGACAGCGGAGTGCGCATGTGTTTGATCGCGCTTCGGCTTTAAGGAGATAGTCCGAAAGGGCTCAAGCGTCTCTACCGTGGCTTTTTTGAGGAAGGCTCTCCGTTGTTGGCATGCTGGCGGAGCTGAAGAAGCCGCTTCTGACTCATGTGAGCTTGGATTGCACGAGCATAGAACTGAGGCAAGTCTT